TTGTAACACTTATCTCACCCTTTTTGATTATGCCTACTTCATCATTCCAAACTTTGTAACGGTTATTATTATTTATCTCTTAGTTCTTAGTCATTATTCTAACAATTTCATTTTACTTTATATTTATTTATTTATTTTATTTTTTTTTATAATTTTTTATTTATTTATTTATTTTTTACCATCACTACTTATGTTTCTCATACCTTGTTATCTGGTTATTTTCTTAGCCCTGATGAAGGCCCGAACTTCAGGTCGAAACGTCGGCATATGTAAAAATAAATATTATTATTTATTTTTGCCTTCTTTTTTGACTGACCACCCCAACTATTCCTCTCTTCATTATCCACGACAGTCAACCATTTACCAATTATAAACTGACCTTACTTTGCAGACGTTTTTATGTAACATATAGAATAAGAAAATTACCATTTTCGACTAAAATTATCCATACAGGTACCAATACAACAAATATAATTTTCATTTAGATATAATAATTCGTTAGAGTTGCTAAGAATTGTTTATTATTTTTAATAACGGATTATTTGAAAGGGGATCCAGTCAAGTAGGCACAGAGCGTGCCTTTGTTACTGTGGGCACACAGAGGCACTTAACTGTAGAACACAAGCAAGGATATAATATTTCACGGTCCGGTGGCTCATCGAGAGATTGTGGTCCAATCGCTGCAGCACAAGTGGCCAGCTGTGGTAGTTCTCTCGGGAATCGATCTTGATTTAGCTTGGATCGATTAAAACATATCGTTTATGATATGTTGATGAAATAGTAGCATATAATCAATCTATAGAACATTTAACCAAACAGAGCAAATTGGGCTACAAGTAAAGGTATTGAAATCCCGAAAAAATTCAAATTAAGTGTACACAATCGCATGATAAATCCAGTTCTGATATACGGTTGTGGAATGTTGTTACTAACCATCACTTTAGATGGATAGATAGAAAATAACTTTATTCTGGAACAAAGTCACTTGAGAATAACAAAATAGAACAAAATTAAAAGATTACATCTGGCCAAAATAAAATCAATCGAAAAAAAGTTAATATAGATGTAAAGAAAATATAAAGTAAACATTCTATATGCAAAACAAACGAAACTATATACAAAACAATTAACACTATGACAAGACACTCAAAGCTATTTGCACTGATAGACCAGTATACACTTTTAAGAAAACAATAAAGAATTAAAAAATAAAAATATATTAAATTCTTTATTAAAATCAGCTTTGTGTTTCTGTGGAGAAAACAGAAAGCTGAATCTTACAATATTAGGTGCCTGATTAATATATAAATACATTATCATATAGCATTGATATTTGACAATGAATGGCATGAAATAAATGTATGTTGTCGAATGGTTAGCAACTATCTGACTTTTTTTGGGATAGGAATTGGAATAGGAGGGTTTGGCATGTAGATGGATGGGGAATGGCGAATTTTGATAGGGAGGGAATTCCAGAAATTGAAAGAGCGAGCAATAAAGAAGTTTTGGAATGAGGCAGATCTGTGAGAAGACATGTAAAGGTTAGAAGGTCGAGATTTTGTGGACAGGGAATGGACTGAGGATTTGAACTGGAGAAGGTTACAGGCGTAAGAAGGACGATGGTTGTTGATTTGGTAGGGGAACGTACCTAGGAAATATTGTCTTCGGAAGGAGGGGAAAAGCCACTTTAACTCAGCATAGTGGTGAGAAACATGGGAGTATCTTGGGGCCCCGATCACAAATCTTACACAGCTGTTCATTAGTCTTTTCAGTCTATCGCGGAGCTTCACAGAGAGGCCATCATACACCACACAGCTATAGTCAAAGTGAGGGGAAAATGAGAGAGGAAACTAGGAGTCTACGCGTATATTGAGGTAGGAGATGGCGGAAGCGATGGAATAGTTTGATGGTGGAAATTGTCCGTCGAGAGATATGAGAAATATGGTGATTCCAGAAGAGGTTTTGATCAATGAAAAATTATAAATTTTTAACAGAGGATTAGAAGGAGATTGGCTGATCATTGAGGTGAAGGGTGGGAAAGTCCTGATCACTAAGGAGGGGCTTGGAAGCAATGACAATGGCCTGAGTTTTGGCAGCATTTCACCTTAATCCATTTACATTTGCCTAGGCACTGGTTCGATAACTTTAGAAATAATATTGAAAGATTTGAGAGAAAAAATCTCCACACAATAACCAGAGCGATCTGGGATCAGAGTACTCATGGAGGAGAAAGAGCAATAATGAACTACTCATAGAAACTGGTCAATCGATATTTTTGGACCAAGACAAGACGGACCAAGAAGACAGATCCTTCCAGTCTGCGGAGGATACACGGAGATGAAGCTGTGAAAATGACGAAGACTGACAGAACACACGCAGCCATTGATGAGAGTGTACCAACAAAAGAGGCTGATGGATAGGGCGCTCAATCACTGACAACTCCACACAAAATTTACAACCATTTTTGTCCGCGATCCATCTCCTCTTAGCAACCACCTGCCAGCAACCTGCTGCGTTCTCTTCAATCCATTCAGCCTCTCTTGTAGCGATGGATAATACTCTCCCAGGGCAAGAGATTATTTAAAACTAAATAAAAAAATATAATTTAAAACAATTTAAAAAGGAAAAGTTAACCTTTCTTCCAGTATGCCATTGGCCCTCATGGAGTCATGTGTATAATGAATTTCGAATTCCATGTTCTGTTTATTAATAATCGAAGAGAAGTTGGTTTATTAAAAATTAAATTAACTATCATTTATTTATTTTTGATGTTTTTTTTTAATGAACACTCTAACCACCTTCTCTCCAATTATTCACTACTGTCAAGCATCAATTCACTGATATTAATAAGCATTGCTCAAATTTTATTGTCAATAACATAAACTTCGACTTATTAACTTAAGACCTGGTACGCCTGGTGCGGTGCTCACATCACAATTTACATATATAACCATATTTTGAGTAAAAATTATTTTTTTAATTATTTTTTTTATTGTTTCTTAACGATATTTACAACTGTATTAAATAAATACATCTAGTAAATTTGAACATATAGATATAATGACGTGAAAACACTTGTTGAGAAACTACCCAATAGTAGCACTTTAATAATATGTCTACATTGGGAGATCATGGGGCCTTGTTTTCAGGTCATCTTCAGGACATCATGGTCTTCTTTCCAGACGCTATGATTCTTGAATTTATTTTTAATGTCGATTGTTTAATGAAAAATATAAAATAGAGCAGTATCTAAAACTCAACTCCATAAGTCCAACTAAACCTTATTATAGTCAAATAAATGAATCTTCAGTAGTTATTTGGAAGCTCAGAGCCGGAAACGTCTAGGAGTTTCGACAAGAAATATTTTTTTATTTACGATATTTATAACTGTATTAAGAAAGAATACATTCTTACAATAAGAGTAAATGTGATAAAAGAAAATAAAAAGATGAAAACACTTGTTAAGAAACTAACCACTGGTAGCACTCTAAAAAAAAAAATGTATTTACAATAAGAGATCTCGAGGCCATCTTCTTTTCAGACGCCTCGGAGGGTTATCAGGGATCGAGGAGGAAACATGGTTAGAAAAGAGAGGGTTGGGATGATTCTGAAATTTATTATGGGAAGATAGGTATCTGGATTGGACCAGATCTGAAACATAAGCAACATTAAGGTCATTATGGATGGTTTTATTTGTAACAAAGTAGGGAGCATTGAGGATTTTAAGAAGGATTTTGGATTGTAAGGATTGGATACGAGAGGAATTCGATGGTTTTGTGGAGCCCCATAGCTCAATTCCGTAAGTCCAAATATGCCTTATTATAGTCATGTATATGAGTATTCTATAATTAATTGGATGTTTAGAGTGTTTTTCTACTAAGTGCTGAAGTAAGCGGTTTCTCTTCGTTTCAGTCTGGTATGAGAGTAAAAAGTAATCTCGATTCTAGTAGGGCTAGTGAGAAGTACATCATGGCAAACAATTTATGAAATTGCTTTTTTCGAAATGAGAATGAATTATTTGTAATTAATGATTGTGTATTTCATTTACATTTATAGTTATAATGTAACAAAAAAACCTGTACCGCTACAACCAATGAAGGGTCTTGGGTTCAGTACTATTTGAGAAAGTAGAGCGAATGCACCAGTTATGACAAGGGACCCAGTAACGGACAGATCGGACTTTAAATGTAAATAATAAGCTTCCTTGTTGATTTAAAGGTTCCATTTTTTTCTAGATTGAGGAACAATCTATTGAAAACTCTATCAACAAATTTCCCAAAAGAAAATTTTAAAATGCTTATCATTTTTGTTTGTATAGTGTTCTTGAGATCAGTGTGTTTCATACCTTCCTACTAACAGTTTTGCTAACAGTGAGTTGAACATTTATCTTATCTTATCTTTATCGTTCGTTATCTTTATAGTTTTTTTTGTCTATAAAAAATGTATATGCGCCTGTCAACCTATTGTTGACAATCAGCAAATGCGATGGTAAAACATGAAATAATGACATGACAGACATGGGAAGGAAAGTACCCAGCAGTACCTCTTCCCTAACTTGTTTCAATCACTTAGGTTGTTTGGAGGAGATCTCTCATCCAACGCCTTTTTAGTCTCCTCCTCATGTTCTGAGGTATGTCAGTTGTGGCCATGTCTCTTATAAGTCTGTTATTATGTCCATTTAAATTTGTGTAAAATCGTTGATATAGGGTCGTTATATGTTGGTCAACTGTTGGAAAGTGGAGCTCAGTATGTATTGTTTTGTTAGTCACGTAACAAGGAGCTTTTGTTATGAGTCGCAATAATTTTGATTGGAACGTTTGAAGTTTTTGTAGGTGGGTCTATTTAGCGATATCGTATATTTGTGATGAATACGTCCATATGGATTTAAGTAAGTATGTATATGTATTCAGTTTCTGTCTTAGTTTTAGTTTTGAAGATTTGGCAAAAAGAGAGTAAAGTAGTTTGAGTCGTTTGTAAAGTGTCTTACGTTTGATTTTAACATGTGGGCCCCATGCCATCCTTCTGTCGAAGGTGAGTCCAAGGTAAAGTACCGTGTCCGTTTGAGAAATTTGATTGTTGTCAATATAAATCTTTATAGTTAAATAAAGATTTTAGAATTTTTCTGAGGTATGTATATTACTGGTACCGAACCCCTACCCATTACTAGAACAATTGAATTTCGGGGTGTACAGTAACTAAATATTTTTTCAATTTTAAATTGTTAAATAGGAAAAGGAGATCCTAGAGGTTCTAAATGTCCAACGGAAAAATTTATAACTATAACAATTTCGGCGGCATAAGTCAAAAAAGCCCTTAGCTATGTTCATCATCTTGGATCATCTTAGTGATCTACCCTACTGTTATCCTATAAGGCCAACGGTCGCGCAGAGAGATGATAGGGATATTACGCTCAACCGCCAAGTTTTCCTACTTAATTAATTATTTAATTAACAGTACTCACTTTATAGAGGCTGTTTGTACCCCAGGATCGATCCACGACTGATGAAAAATTACTGATAATCAGCAGGACTCGAATAATAAACATAATGAAATAAAAATTACAGATACTAGAACATTTTAATTGAAAACTATTGATTGACATATTGTTGGTTCCTATATGAAATTGCAAGTAGTGGCAAACATAATAATTTCGAGTCATCATATAATTTTATTTTTTCTGTTAGTCTAACTGACTTTGTTGATCTTTTGAGTCTCAATCAACCTTCTTCATCTCTGTCAATCTTGGGCTATTGCTTTCCAGTTGCCTGCATGTTGCTTTGCAGCGCCTTTGTTGACGATATACACATCTGGTTTTTGGCCTCCCATGTAGGCCCTTGTTGAGCCCATTGTTGTGTTGAGACTTTCTGATGGATTCCTCGAGCTACATGTCCAGCCCATCTGAACTTCCGTCATATTCGGTATATCACATGATAGTAGGGATGGAAAATTCGATTCTTTTAACTGAACCGATTAGCTACGATTCATTTATTGTAGTGAATCGATTCTACTGAACGATTTTTTCCATTTTCTTCTTTTTTTTTTTTTTTTTTTAAATTAAAAAAGAACTTTTTATTGAACAAACATAGAAACAAACTTTCTCCAACCTTATAGTTATCCAGGCAAAAAAAAAATAATATTTTTTTAACTGATTGAAATTTCAAATTAGAAATTTAAAGTCCTAGTTTAACATTTGAGGTGTGTACAGTTTCCTCATAGCTTGAAATAGTTTGTCTTCAAATAATGAAATTTTTACTTATTTGGTTTATAAAAAATAACATATACTAACAAGAATATTTTCAAATTCCTTTCACGCTTAAGTATATACCAAAAGGACAGTTTTATTATAATCAAATTGGTTTTATTAAAATATTTCAGAAACTAAAAATCGGACCTCCATACTGTAAGCGAGGGAAATGTTCACCATTTCATTATATTTATAATGAGCTATTATTTATAATTTATAGTTCATATTATTAATCTCGCCTTATTGATGTTTCTACTTCTATCGTGTGGTATAAAGCACACACCTTAGTTGTTTTTTTTTTTTACCTTAAGGCGTATACTTAGCTTTGAAAATATACTGAGAATAAATTTAAAAATGAAAAAAAATATTGAGATAATTTTTTATAATTTTTTCATAAGACATGGTGATATTTAGTAGCAGTGTATGTTTTATATTTTAAAAAATAGAATATACTGTTACTATTTAAGTATTCAGCTTAGATCACTCTCAGTAACAAATATGAACTCTCTAAGTACTCTCCTTAGATCGGCAGAGATGTTAGGCTACTGGTAACAAGATCTGTGATTAATAATTATTCAAAATTTCAATCTTTTTTTAAATATTTTTTTAGGCCAGTCTTCTAGGTTTTTTTCACTAAACTATATTGTTATTGTTATTTTATTATATCCTTAATATTGTAGAAAAAAACAGGGACTGCTATCCCCACAGAGACAGTACGGGATACATTATTATCCACAAGAGTTAATTAAAACATCGCATTATCGTTAAACATTTGTTCTACGCGGCATTAAGCTATAGAAGCGAAGGCCTGTCGCTGGACATCGCGTGTGGAGCCACAGTTTGCTTCGGTCGTTGTAAATTCCTCCTGGAACAGCCGCTTCCAGCATAACATATTCCTGGATCCGATGCATTCCTGTTTCCAGCTTGTTCTCCTTCGGGTAAAGCTCTCCCAGGATGGGGACATGAAACAAATAGATTCAAAATGTTGCACTCATTGGATAGCATGTTTACTCAAACTTGAAAATACAACGTTATTACATCTTTTTTTCTTTTATTTTTTCTTTAAAAAAAACAAACTTAAAGTTAATGTTTGGGATCTAAAAGAAAATGAGGTCGTTACATACAGACGATTTACAGAGTTCATTACAACACTACTGTCATGGTAATGGACGATTTGTCACATGTGTGTTTAACATTTGACGAGATATTTCTGTTAGTCAAGGACATGTGTTGAAAAACAAGACATTTCTTGAACGTATGTTATACACTATAGTTGAATGTAGTCTGGAAAAAAAAAATCCATAAATTGACTATCAGAGAAGAAGGTTTCAACTAGAAGGTTTATCAATATTAACTTTAATTTAAGGTAATCAGGTACTATATTTGAATAATTTAATACCTTGCTTGAAACACGCCCTGATGATGACCAGCATATTTTGGTTGAAACGTCGGCACCAATAAAAACTTTATAATGACTTCGCCCAGAATATTTATCATCTATGATATGTAGAACAGTCGATAAACTTCCTTCAATAAATTATCAATCTCTAACTTCTCTTCAAATTTTGAGTTAATCAAACGTGCGGTTTTTGAGATAAAGACAATTCAAGGAAAATACGTTTTCGCATATATAAGATAAATTAGAGTATGGATTTCAATTAAATCGATAGAGTATCTTTATTTTACTAAAGCCCACATTTCTTTCAACTTTGAACCAAATAGAACCAAGTGGTTCTGAAATTGGTATATCTATGAAATTACATTTGTGCGTGCTCAAGTTGAAGTTCTGTATGGAATTTAATAAAATCGATACATTATTATTTTATAAAACCCACCTTTCTTGCAGCTTTGAGCCAAATCGAATGATCCGGTTCTGAAATATTGGTATTTCTAATAAAATGCATTTGCGCACGCACAAGCGGAAAAACTTTATAGAATTTAATTAAATTGTTTGTTTGTTTGTTTCGATGTCTAGGCGCAAAACATCCAGGTCATAAGCGCCCGATCAACTAAACAACATCATTTAATACTATTTGGATGATTGGTACAAAAAAAAAAAAAAAAATAAATAAATAAAAAAAAAAATAAAGAAATGGATTGATAGAATAAAATAAACAAACAAGGATAATAATAGACACTTATATGTAATGAGATATATAAAAAATGTATAAATAAATAAACTTTAAAAAATAGCAGTAGAATCAATAAATGAATTGAGATCAATAAACAAATGAATTTAAAATGAAATGAAATCAAGTGAAAAAAAAATAATAATAAGAGAAAATATAAAAAATAAATAGATAAAAAAAAATTAATAAATAAAAAAAGTCTGTCAAATGTGTTTTTTAAGTCTTTCACTATCCAGGAACTTGATGACTTTGGTAAAGATTTCTTCGTTAACAACCATTTAATTAAATTGATTTGGGACTATCTAGAAACCAACCCGCACAATTCCTAAAATTTTCATTAAAATCGGATAAATGATATTGATATGCCCGTCACGTCGATTTAAGTGAGATAACAAAAAAAATAACAACATTTAATTATAAATAAATTATTATAACGTAGTTAAATATAAAGTGTTGAACCTTTTTGTAGTAATTTGGCCTGTCGTATTTTAGTACATACCTACCAATCAACTGTGTCTGTCAATTAGTTTCTGTTTTATAGGTTTCATGTAATTCTAAGACGTACATCCTAATTTATTCCATTAAAATAATGTCATTTTTAAGTTTCTGGGTCAAGTTTTAATCAATGTCCAAGGATTGAATAGAGTTATCGCATTATTTTATTCGATAGCATCGAGACAAATAAAATCGGATAAATGATAGTATCTGTTACGCCCATGGCATAGATTTTTGTACAGATAGGCACCGAACCAAATTTAATTTGAAACGCGGGTCGAAATTTTTGATTCAGAGAAAAAATATATTTTTAACTTTTCTTACGAATATAAAGCTTTCCTACCTTCGGTATTGAAGAAGCAAAACGTATAAATGGTTGGTTACTTTTCACTCTGAAATTAACGCATGCGCACTAAAATATTCTTCCATAAGTTACCTATATGTGTCAGTTGTTTATTGGTATTTGAGTGTTTTATACCTAGTTTTGGAATCTTCCAGTAATATACTAATAATAAATTCTGTGTATATATATACAGATATATATGTATGTACGTACGATGTATTAATTATACTCGATTAGGAGGCGGACAGAGGTAGCTCGGAGAAGACCAGCGAAGTAATAAATTACAAGAGATCGGAGCCGGCTAATCCGTAGACTCTTTCTCCTTCCCGAGGAGTTCTTTTGATCTCTTCATCCGCCCGACTCGAACCTGGTCCTATTAGCATAATAGATTGGGACCCTAACCGCTCTCTACACCTACAATCCTATCAATATTTTGGGATCTTACGCGTTCGTCGATATATTATATCGACAATTCTCTCGAGAAGTGTATATTCGAATAAATGCATATAAAAAGTCGTAATAAAATCCCCTGTAAACATTTGCGAATTACTTTTCTATATCCGAGGCTTCTGAAAAGAAGATGGCCTTGTTGTCTCCTTATTTAGACATATTATTAGAGTGGCTAGTTTCTCAAAAAGCGTTTTCATGTGATTATATTCCTGTATACACATTTACCTCATGTAATTATATTGTAATACAGTTGTAAATATTATGAATAAATACATAAAAAAAATTGTTCGACTTATCCTATTAAATTTTGGTTTTCATTCATACAAGGATATGTTTACAGTACGAATAAAAAAAATAAGAAAAGAATTAATGAACGTAAAAGTTTTCATTCTCTCACGTTAATGAACATTTTGAAAAATTGTATTAGTCCCAGAACCGAGTTGAAGGTTTGTGACGTGTTTGAAAAAAGAAACTAAGGTGTGTACTTTAAACCACATGATAGAAGTGAAAACATCAACAAAGAGAAATTAATAATATGAAAAATAAATGACAGATAACAGCTCATTATAAAGAGAATGAAATGCTGAACATTTTCCTCTCTTATAGTATGTAGATCCGATTTTTAATTTCTGAGATATTTCAATCTATATCTTCCTTAAAACTCCTTATTATTTGGTTTTCGACACTATTTTTTTCTATTTTCGCCTCTATCACATGGCGTCACGATAAGACACAAATTTGCATAAAAGTTTATTACAAAGGGCATGAAATGATGAACATTTTTCTCGCTAACAATATGAAGGTCCGAGTTTTAGTTTTTGAGATATTGTAATCCATATGCAGGAACACTTTAATTACTTTACACGAGCGTTAAGATTGTAATAGTCCCAGAACCTAATTGAAAGTTTGTGACGTGATTGAAAAAAAAATAAATAAGGTGTGTACTTTAGACCACACAATAGAACTGAAAACTTCAAGAAACAAGATTAATAATATGAAAAATAAATTACATATAATAGCTGATTATAAAGAGGATGAAATACTGAGCATATTCCTCGCTTACAGTATGCAAGTCTGAGTAATTTTAATCTATATCTTACATAAAACTCGTTATAATTTGGTTTTTGACACTGATTTTTCCCTTTTCCCGTCTTTAACCCGATGTCGCGTTAAGATAAAATTTTTAATAATCGCCCATTACAGAGAGAATGAAATAACGAACACTTCCCTTGCTTACAATATGCACGTCTGATTTTTAGTTTCTGAGATATTTTAATTCAATAGAATTCGTCATCATTCGGTTTTTTGACACTATTTTTCCTTTTCGCCTCTCTAACAAAGTATATATTTTTTTCGGAATATTCCCATTTTTATTCTTAAATTAATCGAAGCGATCGCCACTATTCTTTGTTTATCCTATGTTTTTTAAGATGCGAATGAATTTTATAATTATTATTTTTCTCCTTCAAATTTCGAGAATAGACAAAATTTGCTTATCATAATGAACTTACTTCGTGCTAGTTGTCTTTTTCTTTTTATTTATTTAAACTAGTGAGGTCTATTTTAAACAGACGTCTACTGCAAATAGTGATCCAAGTAGAAAATCTGAATTATATGAAGACAATTTTTAAATAATGACCTAGCATTAATTCGATACCATTTTATCCTTTATTTTCGTTTACAGATACAAAAAATAAAATCAGACATATTCTAGCAAAGATATGGTCTCTAGATGTTTTTTATGTGTTATACTGCAAAGGTTATATCCTTCGTTTTGGTTTTTAATTTTTGAATGTGTTACTGAAGTAATGCTAATTTTTTTTAGCATATTACTAATGATTAAAAAAAAAATTATTACAATTATTGGAATCACTTTTTTTTTATTTTTCCTTGTCACTAGGAAGGTAATTTTACTTTAGATATATAATTGTTTGAAATATTAAACCATTGTGAAATAATTTGCAGAGCTTTTTTTTTGGGTGTAAGATATTCAATCTTGAGGAAGATATACATCCATACCATATAATCTATTCGTATATAGCTTATGAATTATTTTTAAAAAAATACTATGATCATTTTTCATCTTGCCGCTTCTTATTTTTTAAGTGAAAATTTCTTTATTCGCGTTTTACAATTTTCTTGCTGAGAGTGAATTAGATTAGAAATAGGATCTCCATATTGTAAGTGACAGAAATGTTCATTTGTTCATCTTCTTTGTAATTATGAGCTATTATTCAAAATTTTACCTTAACGCAACGCCGTGTTAATGAGAGGAAAAGAGAAAAAAAATAGTGTTGAAAACCAAATAACGAGTTTTATTGAAGATACGGAAAAAAAAATTTCAGAAATTAATAATTGGACTACTGTAAGCAAGGAAATAATTCAATATTTCATCCTCTCTGTAATGGACTATTATTAAAAATTGTATCTTAATGCGACGCTGTCTTAGAGTTGCTAAACAGGAAAGAATAATGTCGAAAACCAAATGATAATGAGTTTCATTGAAGATATGGATTAAAATATCTCAGAAACTAAAAATTGGACCTTCATACTGTAAGCGAGGGAAATGTTCAGAATTGCTTCCTCTTTATAATGAGCTAATAATATATGTTGATGTTTTCACTTCTATCGTGTAGTTTGAAGTATTAGTTTTTTTTTCATCTCTCGAACGTGAGCGTCAAGTAAAAATTGCCTAAACATCATATAGACAATTCTTAATAATAAAATCAATGGTTCTGTGAGATAGACCCATATAGTACGTGACAGATAAATATATTCTATTCATATTGTTTACGAGTTTGATATTTCAAGGAAACTGGATCACTTTTTTCTTTCTTTCATGTTTTATGTTCTGTTTCGTTATGTCGTAACATTTCACAACTTGGCTTGCATTGCTAGAAAATGTATTCAACGTGAACATATGGCCGCAAGGAGATTATAATGTTATCCTAGAAGAGAATTTATTCCTTAGAGGGTTGTGGAATAGTCCATTGTGGGCAAGATATATATTAGCAGTTCGTGAGCTGCAGTGTTACCTAGGACGATATAGGGTTTCTCGTGAGCTCTCCATCTGGGACGGGGGTATGTAAGCTGAGATTAGGGGGTTGTACACTATTCGTTAAAACTTCGTCTTAACATTATATGTGTTTTGGATGACATCTTAAGTAATCTTTTTCACGACGTATGGCTAAGGTGTTGCCATGACACTACAAAGCCACGAGTTCCCAATATCCAGTTGAACAATTAACTTGCTAATGTTTTGCCGATTCAGACAAATTCACTAAGAAAAGATCATTTATATGCAGATAGAAAAAAAATGGATAAGAAAAAAAATATTGCTGGAGACATTTTACGAAGCCATCCATATACATATTGAAAGAAAAAGAAGGTTCTGTTAATACAGCTAAGGAAGAAGAAAAAGAAGAAAGAAGAAAAATAAAATAAATTTTATTCTGGGATTAAGTCCCCTTAGAATAACAACAATGTACAATTTGATGACAATTGTCTGGAATTGGAAATAAATTAGATTACATGATTGTCTAGATCAAAGATTACAATAAAGAAAAGGCACTGTTAGATATATGAAATAATAGATAAATTCAGATATGGGAGTTCACATATTTGTACACATAAACAATGTGTGATAGATAATTATCTGTCATATAACATTAAAGCGACTGACAGATGTGAAAAACATTATTGTACATATATTCGGAAGATTGATTTCTGAGGAGATGGATAAATAAATTATGTTTAAATGAGGTCAAGGATGATGATTTGTGTATGGAGGTTGGTAGGGAATTCCAAAACAAGTCAGCACGTATGACAAAGGATTTTTTAAAGGAAACAGTTCTATGAGAAGGAATAAACAGGTTTGAGAGCTTGGATCTCGTGTTGAACGAATGGGGACAGAGGAACAAGGAGTTAACAAATCGAGAATGTAAAAAGGTTTTTTGGTTGAAAAGGTTCGAAAAAGGAATACAGCTAGGAAGTTTTGTCGTCAGAAGACTGGATAGAGCCACTTCAACTCGGCATAGCAACTGGAGACGTGGGAGCGCCTGGATACTGCATAAATGAATCTAATGGAACAATTCATTAGTTTCTTTAATCTATTGAAGGTTATATTGAACAGCTGATAAGCAGGAATACAAGAAAGAAAGAAAAAATACGCATAGCTAAAATATAATAACACAAAACTTGTTAAATAAAATAAACTAAAACAAATTAGTAAATTAAAAAGAAAAAGCTGGAAGGTGTTTATAACATCCATTGGACATTTTAGAGAGGTATTTTTTATTATAAATGCTACTCGTTAAGTAGCATAATTTCTCCATTTTTTTTTATCCTAAACTCCATGCTTTCTTTCTCCGATAAATTTCAGCTGATTATTTCGCCTAGGCATTAAAAGCTTTTAACCACCTTGATTTTACCGAATTCTGTTTTTATTTCTGTCTTCCTAAAGTTGGGGTTTGTGGTCATAAATTTAGTCTTCTGGAAGGAGATTTTAAGTACAGTTTTCTCGGCTATTTTTTTCAGCGAATTTATCTGTCTAATCGCCTCCTCCTCCGACTCTGCCAATAGGGCCAAGTCATCCGCAAAGGCAAGACATTTTACCAGGATATTGCATTGTAAATTAATTTATTTATAATTGGCATTTAATTATTCACAATTCTTATTTCTTTGTTCAATATAGTTATTCTAAGGGAACTAAATGTCTCAGAATAAAATTTACTTTTTTTTTCAAAGCCGGATTATGAAGCTACATTTTGAAGGGATGGCGATTTTTTTACTATCATAAATAGTGTTGCTCAAAATCGGTCTTGGTCTTGCACTTTACAAGGCTTCCTAACTGTTGCAAGACCAAGACCAGGACTGGTAAAAAAAAAATCGATCTTTTTAATATAAATTAAATCAAAATAGTTACAAATACTTGACAATTTTGGTTACTATATGTTAATAATTGGTATAACCAATATACTTTTGCATTTAACTCCTCTAATTTTTCATTCGGGCTTAGTTTTTCTCCTATGTAAAAAATTACACTAATATCTCTGTAGTAATAAGCTGATAAATAACTGCAAGACTGTTGTGAGAATCTTGCGCAAGACCATGACCAAGACTGAGTTTGCAAGACCAAGACTCTTCTCGGTCTCGCATTTGGGCAACTCTAATCATAAAGCCTCTTGATGGCATCAAAAATGCTATTCATGGCATTTTTTTTTTTTTTTTTTTTTTGTTCTTCCACACCTCGCCTTTTAGGCTATACGGGATTTTCCCGGGCGGGGGGCTGAGGGCAGGGAATTTAAAATCCCCTCCGGCACCGGGACGCGAACTCGTACTTTTTATATCAACTCAAATCTCTGTTATCCGGTTGCCAAGCAACTAGCGGTGCTGTTACACACGCTTTAGCCTATTCGGCAACCCCGCCCAGTATTCATGGCATTTGTTTTATCAAATGTTTTTCTTTCTGAGACGTACCTGACTAATGCTTCTGGTTATTTCATAATAAACTAACAGGTTTTTTTCTTCCCCTCCCCGAGAAGACATCCCGAAGTGGGACCGTGGCCCAGGTCGGTAGAGCGCACGTCGGAGAGACTCATCGCACGCCCCGTTGCCCGGGCTGGCCAACAAGTCGGAGATTTTATCAAAACAGTCTTAGCCCGCGAATTAATCCTTCCCACGGAGGATAATTCTGTAACGCGGGCTTACCCACCTGGCGGCTCTTTGAGCCTGCCGCTCAGGAGGGAAAAAAAGGGTTCCGTCTGGAGGCTCCAAGATAAACATTTCTCCTCAATGGACCTTTTTATCAAACAGTATCCTTCGATGAGCAGCAAAAGAGCTCCTCCTGCTTTCACAGGCCGGATCGGGTGGACTCGCCTCTGTTCCCAGGCAGATCAACATATCCTGCATATGTCAAGTACCTGCTGCCGGGGGAGCCATTACTGTTTATATGCTGTCTAAAAAGATACAAGTTATTTATTATTATAAATTGAATAGAAAACAGTCCATAAAATTGAAAAGGTTAAAAAATTACTCAAATTATCAACAGTGAAAGGAGATAGCCTTGTAACGTGTTAGTTTTTCAATATATATTAATGAAGAGAAGAATAGTTGGGGTGGTCAGTCAGAAAAGAAGGCAAAAATAAATGATAATATTTATTTTTGCCTTCTTTTTTAACTGACCACCCCAACTATTCTTCTCTTCATTATCCACGACAGTCAACCATTTACCAATTATGAATATATATTAATATTTATTTTGTTATTGCCTTATTTATTTATGGTTCTGTAAATATTGTGTGAATGTGCTCTCTCAACTCTATTATAAGTGACCTTAATTAAGACAAGTTGTAATATTTATCAATAAACAAGTAAAAATATATATATATATATATATATATATATATATATATATATATATATATATATATATATATATATATATATTTAGTATACTTATTATTATAGTTATTTATTTTTATTATACTTATTATTTGCAATATGGATCTGTGGAGAGAAGGCTTTCTGGCTGAATCCTTCTTCTCCCAAATGTTAAAATATAATCATTTCTTAGAAAAAAGTTGCATTTAATAGGACTTCAAGAATCACTTCATTTCACTTCACACCATTTCATATAGGAAGTTAAGATATTTCTCCTTCTATCAAAGTAATAATCTCTCTCTCTCTTTCTCTCTCTCTCTCTCTCTCTCTCTCTCTCTCTATATATATATATATATATATATATATATATATATATATATATATATATATATATATATATATATATTTATATATATATAACATCTTTTGAGCTGAAATCCTCTCCCATCCTAAAGAAAATATTAAATTAGAGAAATTGCTTAATGCATGAAGGTTAAAAAAAAAATGATTTAACACACACACAAAAAAAAAAGCTGAAGACTGAAATATTATATTAGTTTTAGAATTCTATGGATCTTGACACATAAAACTTCAAATTTTGAGGTGGATCAAGATATATATTATTTCTCGGTTTCTTGCTCGAGATGTATAAAATTGAATTTATTTAAGGAATGCATCAATCAATATGTAGTTTTTTTTTTTGTTTTAAAAGATGAATCTATGATCTACATATACAAAAAAAAAAAAAATACAAAGAAATAATATGAATCGTTTCTGCAATGACTGGTACAATTATAATTTATTAAAGAAATGACTCTGAATCAAAGAAAAAGAAATAAAGTGAACACGTCCTTTTCTATAAATATTTTCCCATTTTTTTTTCAAGACAGTTTTATTTCTTTGATATTTTATTATTATTATTTTTTTTTTTTGTGCCTCAGGATTACCTTCAAGTGGCTAAACTACCTTGAAATGAGTCCGAGACAAACCAAACCACATTTGTCAGAGGTTATTAAAATCAACTTTGTCCACGTTGTGTTAGCATACGCTGCATAAATGGATAGGACGTATTGGCACAATGCCTCCACTAATTGTTGTCCTTTAATTGTACACCAACCTCTGACGAGCTTCACAACGGACAAATAGAACCATTAATCAGACGAAGGAGTTACGCAAACATTTTACACGCTGTAAGGCCAACTATTGTCTTGTTTTTTTAAAGCCAACGAATACAGGGTATCAATTAAGTGCGGGTGTAATTAACAACTTTATTCTTCATTTGTTTATTGAGTAATATTACATTCTCTCACATTCAAGGACACTAGTAATAGTGATATAGTAGCTCATTCACACTCTAACAGCAAAATAATAATACTTAAAGTTTATAAACAAGATGAAACTAAGTACTTTAAATTTAAATTACCTAGGACTCCACCTGGACAAACGTCTAACTTGGAATCCTCATACCAAACTGAAACGACAAGAAACAGCTCGACGTTTCTTACTACTTCAACACATACTAGACAAACACTCTAAACTTCCAATTAATTACAAAAGACTCATATACTTGACTATAATAAGGCCTATTTGGACTTACGGAGTTGAGCTATGGGGCTCCACTAAACCATCGAATTCCTCTCGTATCCAATACTTACAATCCAAAATCCTCAATGATCCTTACTTTGTTACAAATAAAATCATCCATAATGACCTTAATGTTCCTTATGTATCAGATTTGGCCCAATACAGATATCTTTCCTATATAGACATATTATTAGAGTGCTACCAATGGGTAGTTTCTCAACATGTGTTTCATGTCATTATATCCATGTGCAAATTTACTAGATGTATTTTTGGTATACAGTTGTAAATATCATATAAATAAATAAATAAAAAAATAAAATGTAAATTCACACATACTTTTATATGATATTTAAAAATTCATTTATTCAGAAGAATTCTTAGCCAAGCCTTTCTCCCCTCTCTTGGAAGAAAAGGCAAGACTCTAGGCGCTATAACCATAGACGTACATAGATTGATTGGAGAAACTGGTAATCACCAGAACTCCGATGAATACCTATTTACAAAAGGTCTCAGTGCTACTGGCGCTTCAAACTTCGAAAATGAATCATAATTGTGGGCTGATGGTTGACTGTAGTGAATAATTGAAGAGAAGAATGGTTGGGGTGATCAGTAAAAAAAAAAAAAAATAGTAAAAATAAATAAGTATATTTATTTTTTTTTTTTGAAATCGATATACAGCTGGTGAACAATAGCGTTGTACTCTAATATTTGCCGTAAAGAAAATATTTGATAAAATATTTGATAAGTCGAACGATTTCGTCTAAATCCGCATTGGTAGTCTCCGATAATTTCCTCGGCTCCGTGATTTGACTGGTTAAGATTACAGTGAATATTTTATAACATACCGGAAGGAGTGAAATTCTTCGATAGTTATTACTATTCGTCCTCGGGCTCTTTTTATGAATCGGAATAAGAATAGAGTCTTTCTATTCTTCAGGTAATTTCTCATTCTCCAGCTTACCCGCATGCCTTAATTAGTTCAGTAGGAATATTATCGGTTCCCATTACTTTATAATATTATAATTTTCCGATAGCTACTTCAACTTCCTCTTTACTTGGTCCTTCTATTAACGATTCAACACTCTGGTACTCAGAAGGAGGACACAGATCATAATTTCCCGTATTTAAAATATTGTCAAATATTGAATAATAAAGAATTAAAATTAAAAATGTGAAAGGTATAGACTAAAAAAAATTCAGTAAGGATAAACTTAAAGTAAAATAAAGTAGACTGATCACCCCAACAATTCTTCACTTCGAAAAGGATTGTAGGGATGATTGGTAAGGTTATGGTGTAATTTGGAGATTTTTTCTGGGATAAGGTAACTAGGATGTATGAACCAAATAAAAAAAAAAATCTCAAAAATTCTTAAAGTTCTCAACATCTTACAACTCAAATTTCACCTTTCTCCTTAAAAATTCTATCGAAACCGAATTGAAAGCTATACTGATGTTTTTTTATTGGGGTCCGTGGTCTTTTTCTTTCTATTGAGGCATTAGAAGTTTCCAGATGGATTGTTCAGCTCTTTATTGGCCTGTCTCCTCCACCTGTCAGTACTCTGATCCCAGATCGTACGGAGGAGATTTTGGATTAGATATTTTTCTCAAATCTTTCAATACTTTTTTCAAGAATCATAGCATTTTAAACCTGAATTTTAGATTTTTGGGGATTTCAATACCTTTGAAAGGGAGAAGAAAGGTCTGTTTGTTCTTGTTACACGCTGGTCTGTTTGGGTTTGTTGTGGAGAGGGAAGGGGGAGGGGGCTTTCGGGCTGAAGCCCTCTCCTTCCCCCAAAATGGTAAAATATAACTATGTTTTACAGAAAAAAATATTAAAACTATCTCTTAAAGTATTCGTGTTCGTGTAATTACATTTAACAGGACTTCAAGAACCACTTAAACACCATTTCACATAGGTAGTTAGTTTCTTTCTTTTTTTTTCTAATTAATTATTGTTATATGTATATGAAAAAAAATCTTTCGGGCTGAAGACCTCCCCCCCCCCACAAAAATTAAATCCTAGATCCGCTAGTCTAGAGCTCGGGAATGATTTTCCTTCTACGTAGATCCTCTTTTTGACGAGAAATTTTCTACTTATTATCATGTTCTACTAATGTTATCAGATCTTAGAGTGTTTCTCAATGTCTTCTTGATTACTTCCAAGGACAGCTATTTCATCTGCGCAAATCAATCGGTCCAGTAGTATCGGAGAAAATTCGCAGACGCCATACTGTAGTCGCATTACTTTTTTTACTGCATTTTTTTATTTGATTTTCAGATTCTGCATGTCTTGAAACGTAATACTTCAAATTTTGAGGGGCGTTAACTTTTTTTTTTAATTGATTAAAAATTAATAAACCAAAATAATGACACTATATTCAGCTATTTGATTACTTTGTATTTTTGTTTATATATCTCTGAGGCTCCTTAGCCCACATTTCTGTCTTTCTGTATTATTCTAAAGGAGCTCGTCCCAGAATAAATAAAACTAGTTGGTCCGTGCGAAAAATTCGCAGATAATTTTGTTTAGTGAAGGAATATTAAAACAATATGGAAATAAGTAGTTCCAATGTATTATGTAAGGGAGGAATTAATATTTTTTCTTAGTCGATTACAATATTCCATTAAACATAATAGACCAAAATATTTATACAAATTGCTTGCTAGGACCTATTTTTAACGGTGACTGGAAAGATAATAAAAATCTTAAAGACAATATAATGCCCCGATCATAGGGAATTCTAAATTATTTAAAAAAATAAAATGTAAGAACAACCAAATGTCTTTAAGAAATAATAAAGTTAATATAAAAGCCAGGAAAAAATATGAAGTAGACTATTCTACTCCTATATGCAATATCTTTAAACAGGAAGATATTATTGAGTATACCAAAACTAATGGACTGTATCTTTGTTAATAATTGTCCGAATTTTACGATTATTTTTTTGTTTCGTAGGTAAATTTAGTATTCTTTCAAATTATCATGGGTACAATCC